ATATTGTTCTAAAATGTGAAAGCTAAAATTTGTCCTGACAATACAAGGGCCATAGCAACCTGCAGAGGATGTGTCTATGGACCCAATACTCAGATTGGAAAAGGACAAATATGGTAGTTCGCTATTATATTTTTGTCAATCTTTCCAAACACTTGCATAAGCAAATGCACATGGTTAAGAATGGAGTAGAGATGTTTCGAACTCTTAATATGTTTGCTGTGTCTAGCAGCTTTGCTAGACAGAATGTAGTCATCGCAGATTTTGCTAAAAGTCTTGTTAAAATCAAGGAAAAACCCAAGGGTGGTAACAAGAATAAAATCACTTGGTAATCGGCTGTCAAACCAGTTGCTATGAAGAAGCCGCAAGGCAGGTTCTTCAAGAACAGACTGAAGGGACCCTGAAAGAAAAATTGCCCATAGGTAATGAAAAGAACCAGACATGGGCATATCAAGGCCTGATCAATGAATGAATTATTGATTCATTAATCACTGATTATGTTTGTTACTCTTTGCAGTAGTTCAAACATGGCATACCTGTCAGCAATGGACATAGATATTTTAAGCTTGAAAATGGTAACTTGTGTTTGCATTTGCAGTAGGATAAGTGATTTATAAGACTATGGTTTTGGGTGACTGTTTATTTGTTCCAGATTTCAAAAGGAATTCAATTATTGTTAGTTGTTTTGATTAAAACATAGTTTGACAATGAAATTGATTCCTCAGTTACATTTCGGAGTTCATCTTCGTCTTGTTTGTTCTGGTACATTGTTTAAGTAGTCTTTATTACCTTTGCCCTATACCCCCTAAATTTATTGTGTTGAATGGAAAGGATGATGAACAAGAACTTTCACCAAAGAAATAAAAATTTCAAATGAAATATAACTTTGGCCTTTGTGGTTGAGTCACATTACCTCAAGTAGAAAACATGTTTTAGTTAAAAGAGGGACTGAAAGTTCTAGAATTTTTTAAACTAAAAGCTACATGTTAGTCCAATTTGGAAGGTAAAATGGTCAAGCAATCTTACAAGGGGCCAAAAATATTTGCGCAACTATTCAACTAGAACTGGTACATACTAATGTATGTGGACCAATTAGCATTCAAGCCAGAAGAGGTGATGAGTACTTCATTATATGAATGTTTACTCTGGATTTGGACAGATCAACCAAGTGCGCCATAAGTAAAACTTTTGGAAATTTCCAAGAGGTTTAAGTCTGAGGCAGAAAAGCATGTAGGTGTTCAAATCAAAACGCTTTGGTCTGACTAAAGTGTTGGCCACCTGTCTGGTAAGTTCAGGTCTTACCTGATTTAAGAGGGGATAGTTTTATAACTGTCAACTCTAGGAATGCATTAGTTGAATGAAATTGCAGTATGCAAAAATCAAATATTTCTAGATTTGGTGAAGATCATGTTCAGTTATTCATCTTTGCCAATGTTGTTCAAGGGAGATGCCTAGAAGAAGGAAATGTACCTTCTTAACTTGGTTCCGTCAAAGTTTGTTGTAGTGACACCTAAAGAATTATGGAAAGGGTGCAAGCCCATATCAAAACATATTCGGATTTAGGGTGCTACAGCACACGTCCTACAACAGCAATCAAATAAGGCGGAATCTTGTATGGAAGAGTGCATATCTTTTGGCTACCCTAAGAGAACAAGGGAAGATTTCTTATTTAGTCTTAAGGACAAGATAATCTAAGTGAGGACTCACATGATTTTCTTAAAGGAGGACTAGATGAGAAATTATAAGCTCTTAAGTAAGGATATTCTTGATGAGATTTATCTCAGATCAATAATTTCTAGAATCTTTATAAGCTTCATCCACTATTCCCTTGACTGTTCAAGAGGGGATAAATATATCTCTAGGTGAACAAATAAGAGAACCATAATTGGAAATTCAACATGATAATATATAAGTGAAACTAGTAGAAATATTAGTATCACATGTGGAGGAACAATATCAAGAATAATTTGATCCTTAAGAAATTGAAGATTCACCATTTGACCCACTCTTTGTTTTACTTATAAATACACAAGGTCTAGTGCAGTACATTCGTAGTGGGAGAGAACCTTGTTAACTCTCAAGTTGTCTCTTGTTGAGTGACATTGATCCTACTAGTTACGATAATGCACTAGAAGATGTTGTTGATCAAGTGTTGCTCAAGCTATGAACAATGAGATGAAATACTTGTATTTCAACTCCGTTCGGTCCCAGTAAAGACACCAAGAAGGGGATAAAATCCACTAGGTGCATGTGGACATAAAAGGCAAAGAGAGGATGGACAGGAAGGTGAAAACCTTCAAAGCCAGCTTGGAGGCAAATTTTGCCAGATGCCATGCTTGAGTCTATCCAGATTCTCTTAGTTGCTGCTATAAGTCTCAATTATGAGATTTAATTTTGGGAGTTGGATATCAGGATATCTGAATACAACAACCAAAAGGGTTTATAACAAATGGGCATAAACACATGGTATGCAAGTTGTGAAAGTCTACTTCATGGACTTAAGCAAGCATCCAGGTCTTGGAACATCAGTCTTTGATTAGGTTATCAAAATTTTGATTTTGAGAGAACCTTGATGAATGGCGTGTATTTGTATGTAAAGAATCCAATGGAAGACAGTAGTTTTTTCTGGTACTTTATGTAGATGATATGCTCCTTATTGAAAACAACATGGAGGTAATATCAAGCATAAAGAGTTGGCTAAGTTAGTGTTTTGGTATGGAAGTACTGGGGAAGCCAATTATATTCTTGGTATAAAACTCTTATGAGACCGGAAGAATTAGTTGTTGGCATCACCTCAGACTACTTACATTGACAAAACTCTTGCCAAAATTCAACATGAGAATTCTAAGAGAAGAATTATAATTCTCAGATGTGGAATTCATCTCCCTAAGGAGTAACAAAAGACTCCTGAGAAGGAAGAATGCATGAGCAGGATATCTTATGCTTTGGCAAAGGTAATCTCATGCATATCGTGTTGGGCGTTAAACCAGACATCTGTCACGCATGGGAGTAGTGAGATGGTACCATTCTGGATATAGAGGAACACTAAGATTATTGTTAAGCATGTACTCAAATATCTTTGGAGAACGAGAGATTATTTGCTAGTATATTCTAGTGGGAGTCTTGAAAAGCTGAGTTTTCACAAATTCAGTTATTTCAAGTGGATATTGACTCAAGAAATCAACCTCGAGCTATGAGTTTTTCACTAAACTCAGATATGAATAGAGATGGATCTTGTAGACCCAGTTACTAAGAGTTTGCCTGAACTTGTGTTCAAGAGACATGTTACTTCTTTGGGTCTTAGGAGGATCGCAGACTTGCATTAAGCGAGTGAGAGTTATTGGTTTCATTGTGCTCTTGGAGTAAGACAATGAATCATTTTCGAAATTTCATAAATAAAGTCTTTATTTATTTATTTTGCGTACTATTTACAAACATCAAGGTCCGGATCAAATTGTGGAGTATATGATCATATGGATACGTTCATGGAGGACATGATCATAGGTTCTCACAATTGATGAATAGATTTACAGCTGTTAAATAATGTTGGGCACTTTATTTAGGCTGCAATATTTTATGTAATGATTTTGTCCGAATCATTGTAAAATATTGGTGTGAATTAACATTCACATTGAAAGGATCAATGAGAGATTTGATTAAGGTTGTTTTTTCTGTCATAAAATATCAAATCTCCAGTTAACTATAGTTATGTAATTGCTCTTAATCCTGAGTTTATTATAAATAGGTAATCAAATAGTTTTTATTCTTTGATTTACCAACAGGTGAGGTTCGATCTATTAACGATCAATAACTTGGTATTTTGGAAGTGAGATTATTTGATTATCGGTATTTATGAGATAAACAACATGGAATTTGTAGGATATGACCCATTGATATGTTTCGGTACTTGGATATTAAAGACATTGGCCAGTGCATGTAATCCATTAGAGAAACTATCATAGTCAAGGAAATAAATAATTGATTGAGTTACAGAAAACTTGTCAATCAATTATAGACATTCTACAAAGAGGCGATGCATATTCATGTTATAAGTGTTGTTAATCTTGGAGTTCAAGTTCGGGCTTTTAGTGGAGTAGCACCGAATTAGATAATCATTCGTTGATTATCAGGAGCCTTGATTAATAACAGATGGTAGATCCCCAAGCTAGCTTGAGACAAGGGATGGGGTGTTTTTCGGATAGATGATGACTTATGGGTTACATGATCTTGGGTTTTACGACTCAAGTTTGTATCCAAAAGAGCAAGTGGCTTGTTGGGTTTGCTCTCTTACTAAAGCCCAAATGTGTTATTAGTATGAGAAGAGCCAAGGAACCTAGAGCCCAATGAGCTAGGGTTTCTTGGATCCCATATAAATAGTACCACTTAAGTCATCAGCCTCCAAGGTCTTTTGTGAGAAAGAGGCAAGCTCAAAATCTGATTGGTGCCCACACACTTCCCCTTCCTCCTCGAGAGATAGTTTGGAAGGTCTACCACAACAGTTCGTGAGTTCGTGCTGTGACGCAAAGGACTCAAGCGTGTGGAACATCATCATCTCAGATGGTCTCATACGCTTCCGCGGATGCAATTGCTCCTACATTTATTTCTTTCTTTATTACTTTCTAAAAAATGGTCAGTCGTTTACCTTCTCAAACTTTAATGAACAGAGAATATTTGATTCCGAGATTTCCCACACCCTTATTATGCCCACAAATACAAACTTCTACTTGTTTCAAGTAATTTTGTACATATCTCAGTATTGAACTTATAATTACAAAGATAGCCAAATTCCTCTTGAATTCAGGTTGTAGACACCTTGTACTTGACAGATATTGAAGCCCAGGTCAAATACTAATTTATGATTTTCGAAACTTGGGTAGGATATAAATATTTGATTGTTAACTCCATCATATCTCAGATATGAAACCACAATGTTAGCCATAAAACAACCGAAAATTTATGAAAAGGCAAACATAACAGTTTGCTTCCATTCTTACTTAGCATGTAGTAATTAATAACAAGAACATTTACAAAAGCAGCTAAACAAAAGCCACTATAGGGAAATTTGAGGAGACACACTTGTACAAGCCTCTTTACTAATGCAACACACACTACTCCGGTTTGGTGTAGCAATTACAGAGCTGGATTTGGCATCAAGAGAAGAAAGTTCTAAATCAGAACTACTACCACAACTAGAATCACAGCATTGTCCATCTGCCTTGTTCATCTTATCAAATAAGGACTGCTTGATATGTGAACCAACCATGCAAGTTTCAGAGAGATTTATCCCAGGAGAGCAACTTATCGCCACAGGTGAATTAGAATTGCTTAAAGAATCCTCCTGCAATATATCTCCCATTCTAGACAGTATGGTGAAGGCTAAATTTCCAAGAACTCTGGAATAAGCTTCCAAAATTGAATGTCCAATATCCTACAGAAAAAGACAGAAAACAACTAACATTACCACTAAATGTTTGCCAGAAATTTCACACCTCCAATAAGGACAAACTTTTAGCCCTCAACAAATTCGATAACTTTCCTTAGCTTTTCTATTTATCCTTCTTTTTTTTCGTTTGAAATAGGCTGGAATGTAAATGTAGCAGATAAAACCAAAAACAAAAAGAGGTAGTGTGTTTTCTCCTGCCAGAAATAATTTGTGAAATGCATTACTATAAAACTCACCTTGCCATATTGAACTTTAGTAGCATCCAGAAATGTTTGAGGAAGGTTTGGGTATCTGATTTTAAGCAGCTGTAAAAGTGTTTCTGCACGGTCTAATAATAATTCCATTTTATTAACTTCTGACGCAGGGTCCTTCACAAAAGACCATGAGGTTTTAACTGGAGATTTGGCGCTAACTTGTTCCTTAATTCTTTCTCTCAATGAGAATATGGCAGCTTCCAATCTATTAATGGTCTCCAGGGCAATATGTTCAGATTTCAAATTGAGAGATTTAAGTATGTCTTCCCCAGAGCCTGATTCAGCCGTCAAAACATTGTGCAGTTCTTGCCCAAGGTTTGCCTTTCCAGACTGCAACATAGAACAGATATATTAATGATGAAATGAAGATCGAAATTTAATTCATCAAGATTCTACACTTTGATTATGAATGCTATTAATTTCTTAGCCAAGAATGAAAAGTTCCTTATGGTCAGGATATCAAAAGATGCAATTTTCTTGTTCAAGAACCCAGGCGTATAAAGCCACTAGGTTTGGTCCAGTGATGAGGGATTTGGGTAGGTTATATTAGGTTATGTTTTTAATTATCACTTGTATCTTAAAAAAAAAAAAAAAAAAAAAAAAAAAACCCAGGCTTATATTAAGCATCAATAATTAAATGACTTAACTGCATCATCAGAATTGCTCAAGGATAAAATGTATATAAAAATTTCAATACAAATCAGATTGAAGTTATTCAACATTACATGATATATCACCTTTGCAAGTGCATCTTTAATAATTGCTGGCACAGGCATTTCCAGCAACACATTTTCATTGATAGATTTGGCAGCCTTGAATACTTGACGTACCATCCTTCCTTGATGAAGCAGCCTCTTTCTTTCAGTATCAGTAAGCCCGGTTCTTGGTACTTGGGGTGATGGAAGCCACCATCTTTTGCTATGCTGCGCACTTGTGTTCCTCCATTCTGCCCGGCTTCCTCCCTCTGCATACCAAAACTCTGTATTTACCATCGAATCTAGCACTTCCTGTCAACCAAAGAACCAAAATAGATGTGGTGGTCTAGTAAGTTATTTTCAAAGAAAGTTCAAGATCTTTGATCAGAATAACAAGATGGCATACAATAAGCATAGAATCCAACTTCTGAAGTGCCGGAAGATTCATGTGGATGTCAGCACGAGCTTTTGGAGTCATTATCTGGTCAAAGAAGATGAATCTCTTATTTTACTACAATGTCATACTGATATATAAAATAGTACATCCTTTCCTATCTAGCTCAAATGAAAGATACCTCAAAGATCCCACCATTTGCACTGCTTTGCTTAGCAGGAACTAGCTCGACCATATAGTTAGTAGGAGACAGTAACCAATCCATTTCTCTCCGCCATTTGTTCTTCTTTTCTTCAGATAGGGGTTCCAATTTCCACAACTCACCAAAAACCGTTACTGCATATGACCAGAAGAATAAAACAAATGAATGAGAAACATCCCATGTAGTCTTGCAAATGAGATACGATGATTGTATTATAAGGGTTTAAAAGATTTTTTTTTATTTTTCTTATTTTTTTGGGAATTTGTAACATCAAAGCTTTATATGCCAACCCCTTTTTTTTATGTGAAACATATTCAGTTGCATGTAATTATTGAAGGAATCAAGACAAGATAGTAAAAATGGACTCAGAGCAGACCTGCTAGGTTTGTGATGGCATTAGACAGTGCCAAAGCTGTACTGAGACCCTTAGTTCCTCCTGTAACATCTTCACCTAGCATAAGTTTTGAAAATCTTTCCTTCATGGCTTCTATATCTGAATTTTGGATAGAATAAGAAGGCTTCTCTTTGACATAAAAATGTTGAGGACTTTCTGGGAGTTCCCATTCTGCCATTCCTTTTTCATCCCTTTTCATTGTCAAACATTTTGAAGAGAATGATCCAAAAGCATCTTTGCTGGAGGAACAACTTGAGTCGTCGTCATCAAATGGATCAGTTATACATCCATCTCCTCTACTAGTTCTGCTTTCTTCTTCATAAGACTGATTATTTAAAATGCAACTCTCAAGACCATTATATGTCATAATCCCTGAAAGATTCCATCGTAAATTTATAAAAATTACAAATATTAAATATATCCAAATAATCTAGAACAAAATGAAACATGGCTGTCAACGTTGAAACAATGCAAGAATATAATCTCTCTGCTGTTGGACAAATAACCGATGCAGGCATACCCAAAAGTAGCACAAGAATAAACACCATGTTTACAACTAAAAAGTAACTTTGCTACATGTTTATAAGTACAATTTAAGGAAAAGCACATAGGTTTTCTGATTTCTCCTATATACGCATACATAAACATGCAACATCGGAAATAGATATCTAAATCATTTGCCTAGTTATTGGCAAGTAGCTCGACGCGACACATCTAAAAATATCTCCAAATAAAAAACAAAAGGCTATCGCATATGGTTGAGTTAATAGTATCACAAGAATGAATAATTGAGGTTTCATCGTATATCTGTCACGGGTATTGTTAACTTCCAAGTTCATATATTTTACTTAAATTAATGCATATTGTCGATACTTGACCTTACTCAAGGTCAAGTATCTCTGTAACTGCAGATCATCATAGCAAATTAATGGGACCTATTGCAAGATTGACTGATTGGAATCTATGTTATTCATTTATTTGCATATGTCCTGATGCTATTCACTGCACATGACAACTGTTGATTTTTTTTAATACAAAAAATCCACTATAATGTCCTGAGAAAACCTCCACTAAGGCATGCAAAATCCCGCACCAATAAGTCAATAATATTAACATGTATGAGGCTCGCACTTGAGAGAATGGCACAGCCATCAGTCAAATCTATCCAGAACGACATGTTATATATAATAAAGCATACATGGTCACATGCAAGTGTCTTCAGCAACCCCAATTTATATTTTATTTTAACTTTTAATTTTTGCGTTTGGCCATAGAACGTGAGAGAACAAGTGTTCCATCTTCCTTTCTGTTCAATAGGATAGATAAATAAAAAGCTGGAATCTAGGCCATATATATATATATATATATATATATATATATATATATATATATTGAGAGAGAGATAAAAGCTTTTCATGAAGAGGAGACACAATGAGTAACAATACAAAAAGTTTCCACCAATATCACCCAGAGTTTACATGGGACAAAGATTTGAATGGAGCGGAGAAGCTTCCGGGGATATGGGCTATGACATGATAGAACAACAACCGCATCGAATTCAAACCTTAAAAATGAAAATAAAAATAAAAAAAACGATGGACAAAAAAGGCTCAAATGAGAAAAGAGAAACCCCACAAAAGGATCACATCCAAATAGTAAGAAAAAAAATTTTAAATTTTGAGAACCAAAGTTGGGCAATGAATGTTGCATCCCCACTTCGCACACATTAACTTCATTGTCAGTATCTATGGGCACAGGTAGTAGTTACGAGTTACGACTAATAACAACACTACCGGGGCCCAGGGTCCACCAACTTGTCGGTCAAAGGACTTCAGATTGAGAGATATAACCTTGCAACCTCAACCACTAGTATGACCTTATCAAACACCAAAACTTACACTTTCTTTGTTCCATTTTACTTACACCGTCCTTCTAGCTTTAAACTAAAACTACAAGACCCATGTCACATCTAGAAGAATAGAACTAAGCAAACGGTTCAAAAATGTGGGATTCCACCATTTGTCTTTAGCAAAAAACAGATGGAGATAGATCAACGATGAAGGAATATCAATTGGTCCACTTCGTTTTGTTAATACCTGTTAGTCTTATTTATATCACAAATTGTAGCAAAACATTAGAATTTTTAAAAGGTCAATATGTTATGCCCGACTAAATTTTCAGGATTAACAACAAATAATTGATACTTAAAATTTAAGTGGAGTAATTGAAGATTTACAGTTTATCGTTTAGCACACGTAAATTTAATAGTTCTATAATTAATTGTAAATTTTTGCGTCAGATTTTCATATTTGCCTACATCCAATGGTAAAACTATACTCATCGTAACGAGATGATTGATGTAGTCCTTCACACAATAGTACAGTCTACTAATCAAGCCTCAAATCCATGAACTCAAAGTGATAATACAAGTGTTCAAACAAGAAATTAGAATAAACAAAAAACAAAAATAAAATTTGAACCATAGTAAACTTGATCGACTACTAACGAATACCAAACAATTGAAGTTTTGAATTCTAGCAAAATGTAATCCTACGGCTGTCTCTTTTTTTTTTTGGGTCGAGACCGCTATCATTTTTGAATAGCCAAGTTTCTGGTTTGTTAAGATGGGTATTTATGACTTATGAGTGTAGAACAAGTATAACTGTGCAATAAAGGGATTACTCAACCTAGTAATATAGGATAGTATCATTAGTAAATGAGACTTTGATTATTATCTGGGAGAAGTAGCTATAGATTTCAAATTCAAATCTAGCTCCCTTGCTCTTGCTATTGTAGCCTTGTAGGGACACAAACAAAAATAAATAATATCATACTTTGCGAAGTATGCCTATTAAACTTTTCACGATGAGCAGACCCCTGATTTTAGTGAAGATTTTTTAAAAAATAAAAAATAAAGAGAAAGAAGAAGAAGAAAAAAAAAAGATTTGAAGAAAACTACTTATGCTCAAAGACCCTATAATTTGGTGTTTAGTCTGGTTATATTACCAAATAAATTGATAGTAAAGACCTGTTTCAAAATTTCAAATTTATTTGGGTATTATAAAATTATTTTCAAGTATTATTTTAGAGCAACTTTTTAATATGCAAAGTGAATTTTATAGTATTAATTAAAAAAAAAATTAAATTAAATCTTGAACCAAATGGGCTCTTAGTTATTGTGATAAAAATATGATTCTTAATTTCACAACTTTGCTAAAGTACTAGTGATTTGATTTGCATATTTAGAATAAATATTTTCCAAACAAGCAAACTTCTAGTTAATCACAGTAATTTTTTTTCCCCGGATATTTAATTGCAAATCTCTTTTTTATAGGCTAATCAAAGGGTAAGTTAATGCCTTTCTTAAAAAGGGATTAATTAATGGCAAAAATAATAATAATAATCGTTAACTAATTTAAAAAAAGAAAAAGAAAGATAAAGCACATAGACACAGTTAGACGGTATGGACTTACTCTCTTGCTCATCAAAATCAATGCTAATATTCCTTTCTCTGGTGCAGCAAGTTAGTCTTTTTCTCATCGTCAACATCCCTTTCACTTTCTTACCCCCTCCGTCAGTGTTTGGTGACTCGCTTCAGCCAAAGGTCACTGACTCACTGTGGCTTCAATAACTCTCCCACTGAACCCTTCACCAACAAAGTCACAAAAATATTATTATAAACCATTTTCAACAATTATATTATATACCCCCCTCACTAGATAAAATTTCGATATTAATAATGAATACTGAGAACGCTTTGGGCCACCATGTCAATTGTCACAGCACTCTCCAAAACATTAAATTTCACGTGCTAAGTCACGCATGAAATAACTACCATTACATCCAGAATTTAAAAAAAAAAAAAAAAAAAAAAAAGCCACAATTAGCGACATTGATCACCAATTAAAACCAAAATCTCATACCTACGCATAAAAAAAAAAAATTAACCACGAAGGATTACCCAAAGAAAGTATTATTCATTACAGGACATAATTTACTAAGCATATATGCACGTGGAGCACGATTAATTAATTAATTAATTAATCATAATCGGGAAAAAAGATTAATAAAAGATTGCAGTGGAGCGGAGCAAAAAGGTGTTACTTATGGTAACTTTATGAAGCGATGGTCAAAAAGTCAGAAAAGGGGTCTGAACAGTAAATCATGGGTCACGCAGATTCTGCACTTTGTGTCCCTGATTTTGCATAAATACTTGTTTTTCAAAACGTTTTTTCTTAACGGAAGTGAGGATTGAGGAAGATCCAACCAAAAAGATAAAGTAAAGTTTTACAAAAAAATAAAAAATAAAAAAGGAACATTTTTATTTTTTATATTTATTTTTTGCAGTTCAAAGTTGAAACAAAACAACTTACAATGGTTTCATACTTTCATGAAAAAACATGATGGAAAGAGAACATAACATACCTCGGATAGCATTGTTGTTTGGTGTGAAAGGTTGAATGGTGATGGCAAGCGAAAGCAAAACACAATGGCGCCGTAGAGGAAGTGAGAAGAAGAAGAGTGAGGTTGGAGAATATGGAGGCAAGAGAAATTAGCAATGGTATTGGCGTGTGTGTATTTAATAGAAGAAGAGAGAGAGAGAGAGAGAGAGAGAGAGACGTTGAAGAAGAGAGAGAAATAGAAGAAGTGGATTTGGGGATGGGGAACAAGGAGGCTCCGATGCGATACCTTAATCTGGTCCGTTGGATCTAGTGGGTCCCTGTCCCTATACAACGGTTTGGATTGATCGAGGGGTCAATAACAGTAAGTTTGGAAAGTGGGGGCCAATGGTTAGTTCCCTATCAATATCGTCCTTATGTTCAAAATTAGTTCTCCTTAGTCCTTAATAATGTTTTATGTTTTTGGATTTCAATTTTCAAATTAAACTTATGCACTCAGTGGTCACTTGTCTCTGTGACTATAATGCAGCTAAATGCACTTCTTTTCCTTCGCCTTTTTTTTAACTTCATATATATATATATATATATATATATATATATATATATATATATATATATATATATATATATATATATATATACACATTAGACAATAGCTGAATTTTTCAATTAAAAACATGGAAAAGGAAAATTCAAACCAGGTACTCTACCAAGAAATTAGATGCATGAGCCAATTGTAATGTGTGTTAAAGTGTATTTGGCTTCTTAACTTATTGCTATCAAAGGTAATAAGTAAATAAATTTACTTCTGATCAACAAGTTCCTTAAGTAAAAAAATATTTATTAAATATTAACATAATAACAACTTTGTTACGAGAAATAAAAACATCAAAAATAACAGTAACTCTTATTATTATTTATATAGAATTCATTAATTTTAATTTTGTATTTTTTCTTGTAATATAATATCTTTATATTAATAATTAGGGGAATGATCTGTTTATAAATTTTTGTAAATTATACTATGTTCTCACGGAAATACATAGTGTAACCTAGTGTATTTTCGGGAGTATATAGTGTAGTTTGTAAACAAAAAGTTTGTAAATATAACATTTACCTAATAAATAATATGAGAATATCTTGTTCCTTTTTTAATATATATATATATATATATATATATATATATATATATATAGGGCAAAATCATTTTACATCGGTGTCAAATTTTGAAATTTAACACGAAATCCTAACCGTTGATTTTCGTCAATCAACGATATCATTTTATTGATAAATTATTAATTCTCAATAAAAGATAACCGTTGGTTAGCGGAAATTATTAATTCTCAATAAATAATAATCGTTGATTGTCGAAAATCAACAGTTAGGATCTGATGTCAAATTTCAAAGTTTAACATGGTGTCAAAATTCAAATGATCTTATCCTTATATATATATTGACCTTTAATAATGTGTTAATGCATGATTTAGTACCCGTTTGGATCCTCTCATTTTTAAGCTAAAAGCTACTTATAAGCAGAAGTTAGGCCAAACAGATTTTGAGAAAAACTTTTTTTTTAATGAAGAAAAAAGCTAAAAGCTCCTAGGATGAGCTTTATTTTAAGCTCTTATCTACCTTTCTTGAGTTGTGTGCATTTTTTTAAAATAAGGAGCTATAAAGATATAGAGAGAGAGAGAGTTTTCTTGAAATATGTTCTTTCAAACAGCTTTTAACTTTTTTTTAGCTTTAGCTTATAAATAACTTCTAATTTAAAAAAGAGAGAATCCAAATAGGCTCTTAATGAATTTAACAATATTTGATATGTGAAACTCATTGAACGATTGTTATCAAAAAAAAAAAAAAAATTCATTGAACGATGTTATATGATATTATTAAATGATGGGTTCGATTTTTCTGTCGCAGCGGTTGAAAGCAAATATCTGCCACAGAGACAAAAAAAATGGGACCCTACAAAGCACGGACACGCTTTGTTTTTGAAATTGTGGGTGTCGAACACGTGCCCGACACAGACACACTCTGACACGTTCGGACATACGTCCGACACGCGGTCAACATTTTAGGACACGTGGTCAACTTTCTGACACGCTCCGACACGTTTTTTCGACACGTAGTCAACTTTTTTCGACACGTGGTAAACTCTGGGATACGCTCGGACACGCTTTTTTTTTTACTCTTAATTTTATTTTATTAACTAAAAATAAAAAAATCATTTATAAATTAATTTTTGTCTGTTATGAAATTTGACATGAAAAATTAACAAGATACGGAAATTTATTTTTGTTATGAAATTTGAATATTTGATTGGTTATATAACTTATTATGTATTGTTATATCTATTAAATATAAATTATATTATATATATTAAAAATATTATTTAATATCAAAACGTGTCCCAATGTGTCGAAATATGCCTTTTTTTAGAATTAACGTGTCGGCGTGTCGTGTCCCGTGTCAGTGTCCGTGCATCATAGATGGGACCCACTCTTTTTTTGAAAACAAAAATTATTAGGATCTGACATCATCCTGATAAATATGTATTTGTAGCAGACAAACTATTTCTGTCGCAGCTGCATACTTTTTTTTTGCCTTAAATGATAATATAATTTCTTTTGCATTAATAAATAAGGGCTTATCGTTTCTCGAGCTGCCGGAGATAATTTTATTTCTGACTACTTAATCATAACCGTAAAAAGATGGATCTATGGTGATAAAGGAAGAGAGAGAAAAAAGGAATCATAACCATTCAAAGGAGAATCAATTAATATAAGAAAATAAATAAATAAAACGCGTAGTTTTGGGGTGGCCGGAGATCAATTTATCTCAAATTGTCGAATAAATATTTTTCCCAATAAATAAAGGGATATATATTTTCATAACAATTTGGATTTTTTATCTAAATTGTTAACTCCTTCTATAAATTTTTTACACCAAAATTCAAATGATTATTTCGATTGGCATGCATTTGTCAAAAATGCAACTTTTTCGGATAGTATTATTTTTTTAGGAAATATTATTCACCTTTCACATGAGATATCATCTCTCATTTTCTTTCACTTCGATTTCTGTACCCGATGTTTTTTCTTTTCTTTTTCCTTTTTTCTTATAATGGTGGGACCCACTTATTTTCTCTCTACAACATAAAATAACTATCTTATGTTAAATGAGACTAATAAAACCCTATTTTTTAGGAGTATATATAGCCTTTTTTATATAAGCCTGTTTATTCTACTTTATAAAATTTAAATTTATTGAATTTTTTTGAAAAATATCGTCCTACAAAAATTGTCTCAAATAAAATGAAAATTCAATATATGATTGGTCATGTAATATCAGTTATACATATGCTTTTTATGTAAGATCTTTAATTACGAGTGTAAGAAAATTAGCTAAACTAAATTATTTTTTTGATAGACGTGTAATTGATGAAATTTCAAGTAGATCATTTGACATAAAATCTTAATCGTTGATTTTCATCAATTCAATATTTATAATTTATTGAAAATTAATAAATATGACCTAATAAATTATAACTATTAGATTCACGAAATTAACAGTTAAGATTTGATGTCAAATATTTTAGTTTGACACCGGTGTCAAAATATCTTGTCCTTATTTTTTATGTTATATGAAACAAGTTGTCTCATATGAAAAATATATTCTCCATAAATAAATACGTAAACGTGTTTAAATCATACTTTTTATCTTTTAATGTAATTTCAGGTTATTAATGAGGTGAGTTAAATTTGCAAAGGATAAAAATGAAAAGATGTATAAATAAAGGGGAAATGGATCCTCTAATGTGCAGAAAAAAACATGATATGGTCATGTAGAAATATCACAATCATACAAAGGTAAATCAACGGTTATGATTTTGTAACTACCTATTTTATCATTTTTTTCTCTCTCTTCCTTTTTTACCATTGATCCACCTTTGTATGGTTATGATTCCCCACATTACATAATCATGTGAATTTTCACATTAGAGGATCCAGATCCAAATAAAAGGATCTCTTTTTCCTGCGGTCATTGCAAATGGAGTTTTTATAGCATACACGTAAAAAATGGGACCCACTCATTTTTGTTTTTGAAAAAAAAAAGAAAAATTCACTGCATATCCTATCTTCTATGTATTGCTCCAA